TCCCGCTCAGGGTGTAGGCTCTGGGGTGAGGCTGGGGATGAGGGATTTGGGGTGTAGGAGGGTTCTCCAGGCTGGGGGGGGAGGAGTTCAGAGGGTGCAAAAGGCATCAGGGCTGGGACAGGGGAGTGGGACTCTGCATGTTGCCTTGCTTCTACATGGGCACTGCCCCTATAGCTCCCATTGTCTGTGGTTCCTGGCCAATGGAAACTGCAAAGCTGGCGCTTGTGGTGGAGGTAGCAGGCGAGCGCCTTGGCCACCCCAGCTTCTGGGAGCCGTGCAAAGCCACTGCACATGCAGAGCCCCCATCCTCCATCCTTGTGCCTGGCTAAAGCACCGGAACAGGGCAAGCTCCCAACCCTGCACCCCACTGGGAAACTGAGGGAGGATTAAAAGATCTGATGGGCCGGATGCGGCCCGCAGGCTGTAACTCTTTGGCTTAGAGAGATAGTAACCAAAGCCCATACAAAGGCAAAGTGGATGAAACGGGTCTGCCACATTCGAAAACTGGAGTCAATTCCCTGCTCTATCTGAATTGACTTTAGAGAAATGCACATTACATTATTTATGCAGCATGAAGTTGATACAGGCTTGCTGGGATAAGAGGCCTTGATCAGTAATAAGAGCTGAGAGGCACACACAGAAATATAAACACTAGAGATGAGATTGGAGCTCAAGATCTGTTGGCTAACAGCTCAGAAAGCTTTTCCCTCAGGTACTTGAAGAGAACTCTTTTTGGCTGTGTTTGCATTGCCTTTGCAGGGTAGTAAGCCAGGTAGCATTATTTAGTCAAAATGTGCGCCATCTTGCATAATCTGCCACACTTACAACTGTTATTGCTTTTAACGGGCTTACCCCGATGTATATCAGCTAACATTCTGGCATATAGATAATGCAGAGAGTTTCTTCAGCTTTCTTTGGTAACTTGATTTCTTTCAAAAAAGAAAAAAAAAGTAATGAATTTAGTCCTTATGACAAGAAACAGCTCAGTTCCTCCAGCAAGTGACATTTTCTGACTCATTGATTCTCAACCAGAGGTCACCGTACTCCTGGAGATATACAGAAGTCTTCTAGGGGGTCCATCAACTCATCTAGATATTTGCCTAAGTTTTACAACAGGCTACATCAAAAGCATTCATTTTAATCAGTACAAAATAAAATGTCACAAAGACTATGACTTGTTTATACTGCCCTATATATTATATATACACTGATGTGTAACCACAATATTAATATTCCACCTGATTTACATTATAATTTTATGGAAAACATGAGAAAAGAAGTCTCAGAGGGTTAGCCATGTTAGTCTGTAACTGAACATTATTTTAAAACAACAAATGTCCTGCAACACCTTAGAGACTAACAAAAATTGTAGAAAGGAAGCAATTTTTCCAGTATTAGTGTGCTGTGACACTTTTGTATTTTTATGTCTGATTTTGTAAGCAAGTTGTTTTAATGAGAGGTGGAAGTGAGAGACATGCAAGACAAATTAAACCCCTGAAAGGGGTACAGTAGTCTGGAAAGATTGAGAGCCACTGAGCTATCTCATTTCTGAATTCCTCTTACTTTTCATTGTATTTGTTCTTTGTTTATGTCACTTGGTCACATGACAAGCCACCATATTACTTGGTTATTAGTTGGTTACTACCCCATATTACTTGGGGTTGGCTGGGCACGAGCACAGAATTACCTTAATACCCCATGCATACTAGAAATGGTTCATCCACAGTGGGATGAATGGGATATGGGTGGAGCTATATTGGGAAGCTTGCAGGAAGGAAGTCTTTCCATGAGCCATACTACATTAATATTTCTTGGTTCCCAGGTGGCCAATCTAAACAAGGAAGCCAACGGTGGAATAGGCCCAGAGACTGTGCTACCTTCTTTCCCTCAGTTTTGAGTGGTTCATACAGAATAGGAATAAAATAGTATTGGTGGAGCAGTCTGGGGGAGTTTTTCTGGCCTGGGACCAACTCACCAGGCCACTTACTAGAGCCAGGGTTGAGGGAGATAGAGAGGATAGTCAGAAGTAAAGAAAAGGAGGGCCAGAAATGCCTCTGCCAGCATTGTAGCTAAATGGAGCCCTCAGAGCCATACGGCGCATGCAGCACAGAATGCTCAGCATGATGCTGTAGCAGTCAGAGGCCCTGGACCCATTTGAATTGCCAAGCCATTGTCAATGGGCCTTTACGTCTGTCCATGTGGAACTGCCCTGAGACCAGTTAAAACATTGACAAACACAGCATTAAATTATAGCCAAGACTTCTTCGTGCGCTACACTTTTCATGCTTTAAAATGGAGGAAATTGAAAGTTAATGTTTTCATATCTACACCATTAATCGCTTTATGGGCACATGCCTTTTGAATAAGGATTCCAGGGAGTGAAGTAATGCTTTCATCATATTTATCCACATAAAATGTGAATTATTATTCCTCAAAGATAATCCTAAATTGTTCTTCTTAAACTTAACTACAACTGTGACCACTGTTATGTCCAATTCTGGTGTCCACAATTCAAGGGAGGTTGAAAAATTGGAGAGGGTTCAGAGAAGAGCCATGAGAATGATGAAAGGATTCAGAAACATGCTTTCTCATGATAGACAAAAGGAGATCATCTATTTATTTTAACAAAGTGAAAGTTACAGGATGATTTGATTGGTCTATAAGAACTTACATGGGACATTAGTATTTGATAATAGGTTCTTTAGTCTAGCAGGGAAAGATATAGCACAATCCAATGTACGGAAGTTGAAACTAGACAAATTCAGAGTGGAAATTATGAGTCATGGTGACTGACTCTCCATCACTGGCAATTTTAAAATCAAGATTCAGTGCTTTTCTAGAAGGTATGTTGGAGAAGGTCTATGCTATGTATTAAACAGGAGGCCTTTTGAACCATGGGGTGGCACTGACCTGGGGCAGAGACTTTTGGGGTGTCAGACTTTGGGACTTTGGGTGATTTTTGGGTTGCTGGACTCAAGAGACTTTTGGGGTATTGGACTTTTGGGGACCTTGGGTGATTTGTGGCTGGAGGGTGGGTCTTTGCTCATGTCTGGTTTATGAATCTGAGTTGTGGTGTTTTCCCACTTCAATGCTGATGTCGGTTACCTTGTGTTATTAAAGATTTGCTGCTGTACCAAGGCTCTGTGCTTGCGAGAGGGGAAGAATTGCCTCTTTGAGGCACCCAGGGGTGTGTGTAAGATTTCCCAGGTCACTGGGAGGGGGCTCAAGCCGGCTTTGTATTATGTTGTTGGGAGGAGACCCCTAGATATTGAACCTGGCCCTTGCTGCAATTAACTTGTCCTGGCAGAAGGGTTACATATTAAAAGGCAAAACAAATTTAGTCGCAATGTAGCATGTTTTCCAAAGTTTTAAGCTATGTGTTTCTATAATACATTATTTTTGTCTGTTATCTGTGGCCCTAGTTAAGGCTAAGAAGGATAATTTTAGAAATGTTACACATTTTTTACAGTGGATAACTGGGATTATGTAATATTATTTAATGCTTTGGGATCTTTATTGAGAAGAAATGGGCCAGTTTTGGTTTTCAAATGATTGAACATGTAGAGAAACTGGAAGTTATGTGACTAGACATTTCCACTCTTCTTATGATAGACCCTGAGCCTGTGATGTGCTGTGGAAATTGCAGGACTGAGCCATAGATGGTATGAAGTAAATCACAAGCTCAAAATCTCCTTTGAGAATGCCACAGTGTACTTAGGTATACTGATGTCCAGCTTGTATACTTTACATATGCAACAGTGGTGACATCTAGTGGTCAGCTTTTGACCAGAGTCAGCGTCATATTGTCATGATTTCTGTCCAGGGGAGATTCTAGAATAGTAGTGGATTGTTTATACCATAGTTAGTAGCCCCTGCAGGATAGCATGTAATGACAATATTTGTTTGAATTTCAGTCTCTCAGTGAATACAAATGTCACTTTCCATTTTGATAAGTCTGTATAACCAACGAGCCAGACTACATAGGATTGTGCACATAACCAATTTTTAGCATTCACACAAAAGGTGTGCTTTTTTGAACTACATTGGGAAGCCCTTATTGTAATGCTCAGTGCGGACTGAGCACTAGAGAATGACTTCCTATCTTTCTGATGCAGATCCTTGGCCAAGTTTTGCACTGGTCAGAAGGATTGTGTAAAGGTGGCTTTAAGCCATTGGGTGCACCCCTGACTTGACCTCATACTAGGCTGATCTGTCCATGTAAGTTAGGGCAGTTGTTAGGCTGCTTTACAACACACCAGCTGCTAATGGCCTAAAAAGTCAATTACTGACTGTCAGAGTGTAGAGAAACTTCCACCATACCCCTTTCTCCCTGGCCATGTCATCTACCCTGGATGCAGGGAGAAGAATGATCCTGGTGCTATTATACTACCTTTATAATACCACAGGATTGCACTAGGACTATCTGCACTGAAGAAGACTGGATGCAGAAACCTTGTGTGCTGCAGGAAGTTGTGGTGATTTGATAGTTGTCATTCTTCCCTGCAACTTGGCATGGATCCATCATCCTAGGAGGATGCTAGGACATTCTTGGGGCTGCAGAGATTTGACTGAGAGTTACAGCAGAGATCCTGACCACTCATGGCACTAAGGGATCCCTCTGTACTTACCCATAAGAGTAGAGGTTTCACTCATGGTGCTGGACAGATTACATCCTGCCAATTAACCTGAATTCCTCCTTCCAGCTAACGCTGGTCATGGTATTCATCTCTGATTTTTCAACCAAACAAGTGCTGTGAAAAGCTCCTGTGTTTTACTGCAAAGGTGAATCAAGCAGTCCATATGGATAGGTTGTTTATGTAAAGTTCTTTCGCACATGTCTTATGCTTGCAAAGCACCATGTTTATCTGGAATTCTATACAATTCATATATAAAGTAACTTGAAATGAAAGACACATCAACGGATCGTATAAATGCAACCGCAAAATATAACAGCTTTGAAATGCAGTTTATTCTACAAAAATGTAGCACAGCATCTTTAGTTAATTTCCACAATTGCGCAGATTGCTGGAAGGAAAAGCAAAGGAAGGAAGGAAGCTCATTAGAAGGTCTATGAATGCTCACAGCTGTTCTGAACTATTTACAGGTGAAGCATTAAAAATAGATGTTTCTCCAGCACTTCGTTTTCATGGCTTTTTCTCTGAGCATTTTATCTCCACGCAGTCACACTCATCTACATGAACATATGTGTATGTGAGTCTCTTTCTCTTAGCGCAAACCAGTTCCACCTTCATCGTGTGGCTCTTCGTTTCCTGGCAGCACATGCATTTGTGTTTCATTTTACTGTCATCAAAGGCATACCTGGGGGAACAAAACTAATAGATCAGTCCTTTAGCTTATTTCTTTACTGCCCTTCGTTACACTTACCTGTCTCTACAACTGTGAGTGGGGAAGGAAAGCTTTGGTGTTTCTTCTGCTTACAAACCACAGGCAGGCCTGTCGACAGCGGTGGGCAGAGGGAGCAATTGCACTGGGGACTGGAGATTCAATTTTGAAATGCAGTAACAACAGTGGTGACTGGTGCCCTTTAAATTGCTGCTGGGGCACTGTGCCACATGCTCTGGGCAGCACTAAGGGATGGGGGGAGGGTGAGGAAGGGATATGCCACGCTCCAAGAAGTGCTGAGGGCTGCCTGGGGGATGGGTGATGCATTCCTGGCTGTGCTGAGGACAGGCTGCCTTTGACACCAGACCCTCCACTCTTGGCCCCTCTCCTTCTGGGAGTGCAGAGTCAGCACCCCCTCCACACTGTGCAGAGGCCTGTAGAGGCTGTCAGTGCCACTGACCACAGGGGGAAAACAATATCAGTAACAACCTATTTCCTGGACATTTAGGTAATGTCTACACAGCAGGGCTAAAACTGAAATAAGTTATGCAACTTGAGCTACCTGTTATTCCTCCTGCAATGAGGTTTAACAGGTAGTTTGTTTTAGGGCTTTATTTCGAATGCCCATTTCACTGCCGCGTGTAGACACAGGCAGTTATTCTGGGCTTGTAAATTTCAAAAATGGCGCCCGGACGGGAAGGTGCAAATCAAGCGCAGGGTATTTAAATCCCAGGCTTGATTTGCAATTCCAAATGCCTACATTTGCAGCCCTCTTCCGAAATAGGCTGCAAGTGTAGACATACCCTTGCTCCTCATTAAATGAGGGTTACAGGAGTTGGAGTAAGAAGTCCTTCATCTCAACATGATGTCAAAATAACTGCTTGCAGTGTAGATACGGGCCATGTTATTTCAAAATAACTCCAGTTATTCCAAAATAACACTGTGTAGATGTACCCTGAGAGTCCTGGAAGGCCTGATCCAAAGACCTCTGAAATCAATGAGGTAAGTGGGAGTTTTTCCCTGGGCTGATATGAGCCATATATCAGACCCATTATGACCATTCAGAAAGGAAGAACCACCTTGATGCAGAACCCAAACTGCTATTAAAAAATGAACACATTTTAAAATGCGTAAGTTAAAATGTGTTAATTAACGTGATAAACATGGTCAATTTCCCGTGCCTACTTGTGGCAATCTTACTTCTGAGTTAAGCAAGACATGTAGTTCTGCTGTTCTGCTCATCACAAGGAGGAGCAAGAGAAAGGGTTAATGTGTCTCTTCTCCTGCAGTGGCCAAGAACATGTGAAGTCAAGACATCACATAAGCATGGAGAAGCACTTCTTTAACTTACACAGAGTATGTACTGCAGGACCCTTCACATGAAGGCACTAGGACTGGGGATGCTGATTTGCAGTTCTTGTGAGTGATGAATTCTTTTTTTAGCTTCAGTTTGCAGACATGTGACAATGGGATACCTAGGAGGGAAGGATCCTATTAGCCTTACTCAGATGAGTGTTAAAGCTGCTAAGCAAGCAAGTTCTGTCTCTGTCTCATTAAGAACAGGAGTACAAATACTCAAGGAGAGTTTAAAGGCAAAGCACTTTGTTAACTATTTTGCTGATTAAAGATGGTCTCAAACATGAGCTTAAAAGCACATGCTTAACAGCTTTACTGGATCAGGGCTTACTGCAGACACAGCTGGATATTTTTTATATAGTCTACATTTCTGTAATGACATTTGTTAGCTAATTAGCACTTTTATAGTCTTACAGCAGCCAGCACAGTTTAGTCTAGGTCCTACAATAACAGAACACTGCTTTTTATGCAGCTCCTAGATACTGGAATGCTAGAATCCAGTACACAATCTCTACCAGGTTACATCATTTTTTTCACCGGGAATTTAGTTTAATCTACAAATATTTCACTTCTTTATAAAACCAAGGAAAAGGGAGCATGACATTTTCCCCAGTGGCACCACTGGAAAAGATAGACTGGTTTTGAGCCTTGTAAAATGAAGAACTGAGGACCTTCTGAGAAGTGCTCACTGCTCTCAAATCCCACTGAAGTTGGTGGGAGTTGAGGGCATTTACTACTTCGCAAGATCAGGGCTGTAATGAATGGAGAGCCCAGATATGTTTGATTAATGGATCACTGGCTTGACCATACTTACATGTCTTACAGCAGCCATCTGAACTTGTTGCAACAGTTCCCTATATTGAAAGCAAACAGAAACAAAATCGCTCAGCTTCTAACCTTAGATATGCATGTTGTAGATATGAACAGCCGTAATAAGAGATTTCTAATTATGAGACACAGTGCACAATCAACCCATTGGCCCACTGCCACAAAGCTGCTGGTACCATTCCCTTACAAAGTTTTCAGACACATATGACAAGAAAAGGGGTGAATTATCCCATAAAACCTAGTATTTTCCTTACAGCCCCTTTAAGCTATTTAGCAAGACATCTACAGCCTAATGCAACTCATAGTGAAGACAAAAGCTAAATGCCTATCAACTCGGGTGACAGCAGACTTTGGCTCCTGACTGTTCTGTTGTATCAATGTAGATGGTATATGTGGGCAAAAGGTGCTAACGTAACTCAGTCCAATATTAAATAGTGTTAAACAAACTCCGGGGCATGGTATACAGAGAGCTCAGTCTGCTTAGCACCATGGTAAACACAGCATTAAAAACCCATTTAACCTTTTATTAAAGATACAGGAAAGAAGGGAAAACAAATAAAACATCTGAAATGTTGTTAACATCCAGGCCTAGAAGAAAAACCCCCATGTTTGACAGTTTCTCTTAGCTCAGGTCTACAATAGGCCTTTATTTCAAAATAATCCCCCTTAGGTCGAATTAATAAACGGAGCATCCACACGACCAAGCTCATTATTTCAAAATCTGTACTCCTGCTTTCCTTAAGGAATAACAGCTGATTTTGAAATAGTTACTTTGAAATAACGGTAGTATGAACACTCCAAGGCCACTATTTTGAAATAATTACTCCCCAGAATAATTCAAATTAATTACTCCTCAGTGCTTTCTGGGGCTCTAAGTCCCAAGTAGCACACCCACATTGACGTAGCTTGCCCTGGACTATTTTCAAGACTTCCTCGTAAAGAGGACATGCTATTTTTATGTTGTTATTTCAGGAGTTATTAAGTCGATTTTAGTTATTTCAAAATAGTTGAATAGTTGCCCTTAGATGCTATCAAAGATGGCAATAACTGTCATCCCAGGTGGTGTTTTCTCAGTCACACTCTCTCTGGCCTAGCCTGGTCAGGACACCTCAGAGGATCAGAATGATGAAGGATCAGGGTCCCAGGAAACAGTGACAGCCTTCATGGTGAAGCTCACAGCACTAGCCTTTTATAGTAAGTGTAAGGGAGTCAAGAAAATTGTTCACTTTGATTAATGGACAGCCAGCCTGAGAAGGTTGCAAATCACTCTAGAAAAACATTCATAGCAGCAAAGAGAGGATATCAGAACAGTGGAAAGATGAATTAAGAGGATTCCAGCTATAAAACACTCACTGGGACACAGTTTGATGGATCAAACTCCGGACAGGATATTATTGTGCTAGTCAAGACAAACTGGCCTGATGATTGAGTGCAATTGTGCAGAGTACAGTTCCCTCCCAGAACTCTGTAGGTCTTACCAACCTGAAGAAATTCAGAAAAAAAGAGTTATCCTGAGACAACACATGATCTAGCATAGGGGTGGGATTATTCTTCTGGCTTGAACAGTATTGGCAATTCTAAAAGGCTCATCTAGTGCTCTTCGGCTGCTTTGACAATCTCATCTGTCATTGTTACCTAGGTTGAAATAATCAAAAGTTCACAACAGCAGGGATATTAAGAGACATTGCAAGGTCCAGCATTATGCATGGACATGTGTGGTGTTACTATTTATAGAAGATAAGCAAGGAGGAAAATACTTTTGTTTCTCTAAAGTTTCTCCCACTTTTTTTTCAGCGGGTAGAGGGTAGGAAAAACCAAAAGAAAGTGAAAAAGGAAGCCAGCCTTTATAACAGAGATCAAAAGATTAACAACAAAACAGAACATAGCTATCTTTGGACAAAATAAACTTTTTGAAGTTGGTGAAAGAAGAGTACAATATCAGTGACCAGGAAATAAAAAAAAAAAAATTAGAAACAGGAGATGCTAAGTACGGCAGCTGAAAACAGTAGCCATTAATTACTGTGTTAGACTGCTTCACTCATTCTGCAGGGTTTTCACCTGTTCTAAATAGCTGCGATTTGCAATGCAGCAGAGAGAAAAATGATTGTTTTAGTTAGAGCACTAGTATAAGGGTATGTCTAGACTGGTGGGTCCAGGGAACACATTTGCTCTTTCACTTTTTTTTGCAGAAGAGCAAACACGCTCTTTTGGGGAGCCCTGTATACCTCGTTCTACGAGGAATAAGGGCTCCTCTGAAAAGAGGAAACTCTTCCGCCATTTGGCTTCGTCTAGATGGGGCCAAATGGTGGAAAAGCCTCTTCTAGAAAATCAATTGGAAAAAGCTTTTCCTGATAGAAGAGTGTAGTCTAGACTAGCCTAAGACTCAGACTTCGTATGGCCTTGATCAATTAGGTCTGTCACTCTGTGTTCCAGTTGCCCATCTGTAAAATGGGAATAACACTTTCTTACTCTCAGGGGTACTGCATGGATGACTGATCTGCTCAAATATAGTGAGGAGGGGGCTATAAATACCTAGGTAGATTCACATCAGAAATATTGTATTTCATTAACATGCTAATGCTGCAACATACAGTGGGACCCAGTGTTTTAAGCAGAACACTCCATTGAAGTTGATGAGAAGCTGGATTTCTAAAATGACAGTCCAGTCAGTGTCAGGCTGCAATTCCTTGCAGGGCACCTCTACAACACACCTCTACAGTCACAATGCCAGATGGGATCCTGGCCACACAGGCCGTCTGCACACACTGACCACAGCACTTGCCTTCTTCTCTGATGTAACGGAAACCCTGGAGGGGGCACAAATGCATCATCATTATTAGCCACATCCACTGTGGCTTGCCTGTGAAGAGCATTCAGACAAAATCCACATTGCCCTTCTTAGTGCAATGAGTGGGAAACCCAGCAGCCCTTGATTATACGTTAGGGGTTGTAGAAGGAGTTTTGAACCCCATTGCTTGATGGAGTCTAGGTCTTTCAACCTGTTGCTTAGACCCATTCACTCCTCATATCAGTATTTAATATTTTCCAAAGTAGCAAATGATCTGTCAGTGTCATTATCTCGGTAATCTGCTACTCCCTGTCCTTATCTGAGCTGAAATTCAAATCAAGTCAAAATGATTAACTAATCACGTCACTTGCAAGATCCAAAGAGAGCCTTTTGTCTGGTACATTTTTCATAGGTATGGCCACCATTTTGAATTTGGTGAGAGGACGGATGGTAAGGTGTATTTACAACTATTTTCATGTCTTCCTCCCATGAGGACTTCAGTCCTAGAATGAGAAGCGTATGTGGCTCCACCGGGACCATCTAGTGAGAAGCTAGGATGTTGCAGTATGCCTAGCTTTATGTGAGCAGGGGTGAAGATGACCAAGCTTTCCTCTACTTGCATTCAAGTTATATATTTAAGATTTTAAATACAAAGAACTAGATTCAGCAAATAGATACATGCTACATCACCCAGTACCAGGAGAACCTCATCCACTGAAGAAGCAAATCACCACTGCCCTCCATGTTGGTTTTCCTCGGGTATGTCTACACTTGCACCCTCTTTCAAAAGAAGGATGAAAATGAAGAGATTCGAAATTGCAAATGAAGCTGGGATTTAAATATCCCGCATTTCATTTGCATATTTGCATTATGGCGCAATTTCAAAATAGCGCTATTTCAAAATAACAGATGCTATTAAGACATGATTATTTCGAGAAAAAACCCTTCTCTTGAAATAACTGGTAAACTTCATTGTATGAGGAATAAGGGTTATTTCGAGAGAAGGGTTTTCTCTCGAAATAACCGCATCTTAACAGTGTCTGTTATTTTGAAATAGCACCATAACACGAATATGCAAATGAAGCATGGGATATTTAAATCCTGGCTTCATTTGCAATTTCAAATATCTTCATTTGCATCCCTCTCTCGAAAGAGGATGTAAGTGTAGACATACCGAGAGGTTTAAGATGTAGCAGTGCATCATAAGAACTCCACTAGCAAGAGCTGCTTCTGAAATCCATGGAATCAGAAAATTCAACAGTCATGGACCTAGCCCTTTGTCAAGAGCCAGCGTTATCCATTTTTGAGGAAATTTGACATCTTTTAAATACATCCCCTGTGCTGTTAAGTAGAACTGAAAAACCTTTTGTGCAACTGAAACAAACTTTCCTACCAGAACTCACTAGAAGTATATCTGACTCAAAAGTCTTAACATATAATACATATATTCCCCAAAAACAGCAAATTTATTTACTTTTAGAGAATTTAGTTTAATCAGAACCACTGTATCTGAGCAAAAACAGAATAGTTTTTATAACATTTTTACCATCTAGAAGTAGTAGACATTACCAAGACAACCACAGAAATAGCACCTTACAGTGACTTTATTTCCCCCATTAATAAACTTATGAGTGAAGCTGTCATTTTCAAGAAAACATTTTTCCCATCATCCCTGTCTAGTGCAGGTCCCTTGAATTTGCCAGAGACAAACAGTAATAGCTCTAAAGAAGTCATTACATAGCTAGCAGCTTGCTGCATCTTCCTCTCCTTAAGCAGGTTAAGGACCTGTTATATTCTAAAACTTTGATTTCTGAGATGGCACATTCCTCACCAATCATTGACCTTCCCCTGAACACAAACTTCATTTTAGTTTAGCAGAGAGAATTACAGAGCAGAAGTGGCTAACCAAAGTGACTTACCTGCTGGCAATCAGTTGAGCATTTTACTGGAGTGCACTGAATTTGATTAGTTTGTGTAGCAGAGCCCTGCTTTTCAGTGCACAAGCAATCTTCACACGAGTTTTTAGGCACCACAGCCCCTGGCTTAAAATAAGGAGGAGTTGGGATAGGAGAGGGAGAGACTTCATGAGCCTCTAAAACACACAAACTATATTATTGACACATTTTTGGCACGAACACCTTCCATTCTCTAATTAACATACTATCAAAATTAGAAGATTAATAATCTTCTACAATAACATTCTAATGGAATGTAATATGCTAAATGTAGTTACTACTTCAACTTCTCATATCTTCTCTATTGCATTTTCTTCTATAGTTTGACCAATTAGCCACTCCTAAAGCTTCCAAAGATTTTTTTTATTCAGTTATTTCATTTCTAACATCTTGGTCCTGAAATGTAAGTTAATGTCTCATTTATGATAGAAATCATTGCCCAAGCAAACACTATCAGGTAATTTCTCCAGTAATGCATAATACTTAACTTTTCTGTAGCCCTTTTCCATCAGCAGCTCTCAAAGCACTTTACAAGGATGATCCATACCATTATACCCACAATGATGATGATGGTTATTATTTACTAGAAGATTTACCTGGGGCTGCTCGGGTCCTTCAGGGCAGGGGATTTGGGAAAGGAATGGGGTGCAGGAGTCAAGGCAGGGGGCTTGGAGGAGTGAGGAGGCTCAGAGAAGATAGCAGGGGTGCAGGAGTCAGGGCAAGGGATGGGAGGTTCAGGGCAGAAGGTGAGGGTGCAGGAGTGAGGGCAGGACATGAGGGGACTGAGGGCAGAGGGTGAGGTAGCAGGAGTGAGGTTAGGAGTTGGGAGCCATGGCGGGGGGGGGGGGGGGGGAGAAGAGCTCTGAGCAGAAGGTGGGGGCAGTAGGCAGCTTCTCCCTGGGGCCAGCTCTGGGCTGTGGGCAGCTGCCTGGGTGGCAATGTTGCTCCCTGTGGCTGGCCAGAGCAGCAGAAGCCACACTGCCAAGGGAGCAGCATTGCTCCCTGGAGCTGGCCTGGGGCCTTGGGACTGCACTGCCCAGCCATCGGTGTTGTTTTCTGGGGCTGCCCTGGGGCAGCAGGAGCTGCACTGCCCAGCCTGTGGCTCCTTGCTTGCAGCCCCCCCGTGGTCATTCTGAAGCATAGCTGTCCCTGTGCTTGCTGCCCCCTGGTGGTCATTCTGGAGTATAACTATCCCTGCTGCCAGACCTCTTCCTTTCCATTTGATGAGAAACAATCCCATTCCATGCACAACCCATTGTCCTGGCACACCCAAACCCTGACCTTGTTTTAAGTTATGATAAGACGAAGCTGCAGACCCAATGTGGTGATCTTGGCTCTTACTGTATAGGAGGAGTTCTTGAACAAATGGACTCACAGATGGACAGACAGACACACTGACAGACACACAAACTCTCTCAAATATATAGTAAATTGTATTTATCATGGTAGCACCGTGGAACCCCACTTACAGACCAGAGATCTATTGTGCAACATGCTGTACAAATACTTGAACAAAGGAAACGAAAGCATTGAATTGTGAAGTGACTTGGCCAACGTTTTACTGCCCTGTTGGGTAGTAAAAGATCCAGGACTGGAACCCAGGCTTGGTCCACTACTCACTGGGACACAAGAAGAAACAAGAGGCTTTATCTTCATTGAAATGAAATTAAATATTTAAATGAACTGTGATAGCTATAGGGGTATGTCTACACATCAAAGCTATTTTGGGAGGTATCCCAAAATAGCTCCCCCACATCTTCACAAGCCACCCATTAGTTCAAAATATTTTTTGAAATAACGGGCATGCTATTTCAGCATTCTGGTTGCCCTCATTCCATGAGGGTTAAGGGATGTCTCGAAATGGAACTTTATTTTGAAATTTGTTGCTGTGTAGACAGCACCAAATTTGGAAATAGGCTATTTCAAAATAAATTTGAATTTAAAGTGCAGCGTAGGCCTAGCCGAGGTGAATAATAGTCCTGCCATGCCAGTACATTGAAAGAAGTGGCAAGTCCTACCTTATATTCAACTCCTCCAGAAACACACACACTTTTTGGTACTATAAGAAAGATGGAACAAGAAGATGCTCTAAGAAAGATGTGTTTCACATTTCTCATTTGTCTGTTATACAAATGTTGGGTATAATACACAAATACCCAACATAAGAAGTATAGAGTGGCTCAGCTGTGTTGTTAATTTCCATTCCCATGCCATGTTTAGTTTATCAGGGGCAAATTTCATCTACCAAAATTTCCCATCTGGCAAACACTGTTATTCTGCCTTTGTCTCTAAACACACTTGAAATTAGCAGAGATTTGCTTTGTTTATGACAGCATTGTTAGCATTGACCAAAGACCAAATGGGAATTCGGGGTCACATTTATACCATTGTAGTTTGTGTATTACAGTTCTGTGACTGAAACCTAGCAGATGGAGTACATTTGGGGACCAAACTCATAGATGAAGTCCCTGTCCGAATAACAAAAGACAGCATATAATCATGAAACTATACTTACTACAGGAAAAAACAGGACAACAGCCATCCTCTGAAATAGCTACCACTGGCTGGAAGCCTAAATCACATTGTCTTGGGATGAGAGAACAGGACTTTACATCGCATTCTATAAAGAGAAGATACAGATTAATTGAGTCATGGGATGTATCAGCCCTGAACTGCAGAATAAGGGATTAATCCCGTGTTGTGAGCAGAGGAAGTCACAGCTGGGCATGCTCCAACTGGAGCTTCAGTATATAAGGGAGCAGCCCCGCTCAGTCAGGGCTGACCATGGAAGAGGGAGGATGCACACTACAAGCTCCATCCTGGAGCCCCAGATCATAGAGGTCAAGCATGCCAAGACCTCGGTGGATACCCACATGCCTGAGAGATAGGAAGTTATAGGAAGATTCACAACCCAACCACCCCAGAGGCCCAGTTTTATGGACTTCTTTGGAGCTATCCCTCCAAGAATGAGAAACCTTGCTGTAGATAAGTCAATGCATTGATCTCTTACCACACACAGTCTCTGGACAGCACGGATCTTCTGAATGTGGCCGTGTTTTAGGAACAAATCCTTCTTTATTGCAACTGACTGGCAGAGTGCTAGCACAAGAGTGGGGTGAACAAGAGATATTCAGTGTTGCCTGATTGCAGGTGCAGTGCAGACAATCATGTTCCCATGTCTCTCCGGGCTGTGCAAATAAAAAAGTGGCAGTTCAATTAATGGTACCTAGAAATAATACATTAATGAGAAAGGATGTGCTACAAGCCAGTCTTTTATTCTCAGGTCTGGTGCTGGGCTGTTTGTTTGAAATCCTAGGGAAACTGAAAAAGATCTGCATGATCTAACGTGCTGTAGCCTCTTCCCTTTCTCTGAGGGTACGTCTAGACCGTGACACTATTTCAGGATCTGGAAGTATCCCGGAATAGCAACACCACATCTTTAAACACTCCGGCTGTGTCTACACTGGCAAGCATTTCCGGAAATGCTTAAAACAGAATAGTTTTCGTTATAAGTATTTCTTGAAAAAGAGCGTCTACATTGGCAGGCTGCTTTTCCGGAAAAGCCCTTTTTCCGGAAAAGCATCTGTGGCCAATGTAGACGCGCTTTTCTGGAAAAGAGCCCCGATCGTCATTTTCGCGATCGGGGCTTTTTTCTGGAAAAGACTACTGGGCTGTCTACACTGGCCCTTTTCCGAAACAGTGTTCCAGAATAAGGACTTATGCCCGAGCGGGAGCAGCGTAGCTTTTCCGGAATAGCGGCTGATTTTGTACAGTAGAGCATCGTTGCTTTTCCGGAAATTCAAGAGCCAGTGTAGACAGCTCACAGCTTATTCCAGAAAAGCGGCTGATTTTCCGGAATAAGTGGCCCAGTGTAGACACAGCCTCCCACTATTTCCCAAAATAGCGGGTGTATTATTCTGGCATCCCTGTAACCCTCGTTCTGCAAGGGTTAAGGGATTTGTCAGAATAGTGCCTTATTTTGAAATGTGACCCTGTCTACACAGTGCCAAATTTCAAAATAAGCTCTTTTGACCTAGATTCAGAATTGCATAGCTTATTCTGACAGAGGGGTGCTGTCTAGATGCTCCCTGAAAGTGTGTGCATGTTGGGACGGACACCTGAAAGGGCTATAAGAAAACAGTGATTTTCACAAGTTGCCAATATTGCATCAATATCTCAGATGAATATTGGAGTTATGAAGCACGGTCAAAGGCAGAAGGCCCATTCAGGTCCCTTGCCCTAGGATGCCTTCTGGTCCACAAATCAGCCGGAGACCTTCTCTGGTGCAGTCACCTGTGCCTTTTATTGTCAGCTTCCCACCACCTTCTATTTACAAAGCTTTTTGGATTACAGCAAACTCAGCCAGCCTCTCCTTCTTCCTTCAGCCACACCTTGGCTCCTTGCACCCACCCTCCTGCCTCCTTTTACTTCCCCTCTGGCTGCCTTATATAGCCCTCTGGCTAATGAGGCCCACAGCTGCTTCTAATAGCCCTTCAGGCCTGGGCTTGTTCAGCTGGTTCTAATTGTCCTTTCCAACCTAGCTGCAGTGGAAGAGCTCTGGCTTAGCCAGCAGTCTGTCATACTATCTCTACTGCACATTGGTACTGAGTTCAGCATTAAAAGAGTGAAAAAATATTGCAATATTTCCTATAGGTGAAGGCAACTAGCTATTCTATAAAGTTATTCAAAGAGCACTTCTCCATAGAGTCTATTCCTTACCTGTTTCACTGATCCATCAGGTCCAATACAGCCTATGAAATAGAACAATTATAGAATTATGTCGGTCAGTTAAGGAACATAATAGCACTGGAGAGAGGGGCACAGACAGAGAAAGGAAGAAAGGCATACATCGAAAGGCATACACCTGCATGGCTATGAAAAGGGCACTTGAAAAGAATGAGCCATGACTGAAAAGCACAAATCATCCATCCAACAGATCTTGAAGACTTTTTGTTTATAACTTTCTGACTCAAAGGATCCTCTTTCTGCCTAAGAAGAGAGGGGTTCATCCCCCTTCAGAACTTATCAGAATAATTTCTGAGGTGGTCAAAAAAGGCCAAATGCTACATTAGACACTTTCTTTACTTTTCCATAGGTCTAAGCCTACTGTTTGTACAGTGCACTCAGCCCTTAGAGTCTCTGGGTGTGCAGACCAGGCTGGCGAATTGCATTATGAATCCTAAACTGGTAGTTTTAAGCTAGTGTTTCATCTGTTCCCAGTTTATGTTTTCTTACCACAGAG